CATTGCTGGGTCATGTTGAGCTTCTCATTTACCAGAAGCCCCAAGTCCTTCTCCTCGGGGCTGTTCTCAATCCATTGTACGGTAGTACAGAGATAATTTAGAATGGTTGCTTTTATTTTTAATGATTTGTTCACATGTTGCTATTTTTTCTCCAGCGTTGTTTGACCTTTATGGACAGAGGATTTGTTTTTAACTTGATAAATGATTACATTTCTGGATTCAGCCCAAAAGACCCTAAGGTAAGCAGTATGTTTCTTGAAAGGTGTTTTGCAGTGTATGTCGGTCAGACCTCTGTAGTGATTATTTTATACAACTCTTGGAGACCTTTTAGACACTGTTCCTGCAGAGTCTTCTGGAGGCAGAGACCTCTTTGGGCTGAGAGCCTGTATGCAGCTAAGCTTTAAAACAGTGTAAAGAGTCAGAACTGAAGGAGAGACTGGTTAATAGTCTGGATGAAAAAGATGTCCCAAGTGACAGCCACATGCACTGACATTTAGGGGAAACAACACCAAAAAATGCCAATTATTACTGAGTTTCACCAAATGTTATTTAGATTCCGCAGTCCTTGTGCAACAAACACATTGAACTGGAAGCAAATGAGTCAACCTGAAAACATAGTTTGTGTTTGTCTGTCTTTTTTTGTTTTTTTTCCCCTCAGCTGCTGGTTGAGTACAAGTTTGAATTTCTTCAAACCATTTGCAATCATGAACACTACATACCTCTGAACTTACCAATGAACTTTTCCAAACCCAAGCTTCAAAGAGTTCAAGGTATGTCATTTCTTAAGAGACTGGCTAGAGAGCTGTTATTTATTAGTCTTGATGGCTTCTGGCCAGATGGAATTTGGTTTGATGTGAAGGAAATTTATGTCCTGGTTATCCTGATTTCCACTAACTTCAGAAAATGATGCTGTCCTGGCAGGTTTACCTCATTTTGCTCCAGAATGGTATGCAATCAGCCTTTTCAGTATTTCCTGTATTTAAGTTAGCCTGGGACTAACAGTATCTGAAAGAAATTGCCCCTGTTTCAGTAAATACACAAACTGTGCAAATGCAATCCTTTGTTCCCAGGAGTGTCAGCATCCCCTGAGAAGCAGGGTGTCTCATTGCTCAGCGCTGTAGAGAATGGAGATACAGAACAGGTTGAATTCACTGGTCCACTGCCAGCTCTCCTTGTGGCCACAAGAAGGTGATTTAGGTTACCTTCTGCTTTCATTTTGAGCCAGAGTATAGCAGTGCACAGTGCGTTCAAGCTTGTACTCAAACCTGAGTACAGCGAAGAACTTGAGCCCATGCCAGTCCTTAGTTCATACCAAGGGCATATGTACTGTGCCACCGCCACGTATCCAGGCTGCTCTCCCCGTCACACCATGTCCCCTCTGGTCCTGATGCTGCTCACCACAGGGCAGAGGGGGTTTGCAAGGGGCTGAGCTCGGGCTCTGTGATGGCTGCAGCTGTGCTACCAGGGACAGTGCAGCCACAGAGCGCTGAGCCCGGCAGCGTGCCTCGCCAGCCTCCTCTGATTGCTATAGACACAGCCTCATTCTCTCTGGGTCCTGATTTCTCATCTCTGCTAGATAAATACAGTAGATAAATACAGGTTTGGGTGCTAATAGCCTGGCAAGATAAGTACCAGAGAGGAGAGTGGGGTTTGGGATTCCCTCATGTGAAAGCCCAGTGCAGTTATTCTGATGCAGGTGGGGGGATCTTAAGTTGTGCCTCAGGATGCAGACATACAAATCCCCAAGTTCCCTTTACATCCAGGTGGCAGAAGCAGCAGAAGCTGTCAAGTTTCCCTTATTTTCATATGTTTCTGACTGCTCAGAGCTTTCTAGACCAGCTGCTAATCTTACACTTACATCACTTTGGCTACTTGCCTGGCATAGCTTAACAAAGTGCACTGCTAGAAATGGCTGAGAAAGAGAAAAACACACAACCATGGTGCCTCCCCATTGCTTACTGGTGGCATAACAGAAGGATGTTCTTTCTTGGTTAACACTCACCTTTGCATTTGCGATGGTTAAACTGAAAAGCTGTAAGAGCTGCTCTTTTTTCCTCCTCTGTTTTACTGTGACTAGGACCTACCAATTAAAGTTTTATTTTTAAGATACATATTTTGAAGTAGTGGTAGCAATTGTCATTCACACACATCTCTAGACAGTAGAGCAGCCTGGCCTCAGATAGCTGACGTGCCTTTGCAGCGGTGCCTGTGCTCTGCCTGCCGTGGTAGGGGCACATAGTGATTCATTTCCACTGCAAACTTGTCTGTTTTTATGGACAGACCTGTGATTACAGAGGAGAGCAGGCTCCGAGATGGGGAGGTATGATGTGCACATCACCAAGAAAGTATCCTGCTGGTGTGCCTCATCTCTTTATCAGTTTACTTGAATGAAGAAAGGGAATGTGCCCAGTCCCCTACTACTCTGTTTCTGGGAAAAGAAGGAATAGCCCCCAGGAATGTGATTAAAGAGCAGAAGCTGGTGCAGATGGGCCTGCAGGCAGAGCACATCCCTGTGACCACATCCTGTTGAGTTGGAGCATTGCATCTTGGAGCAGTTTCTCTGAAGCATCTCAACAAATAAGGCTGGTTGCTGGTCTGCATCCCTGCTCTCTTGCCTTGGGCACATGTGTTTCATCAGCTGGAGCAAACCCCTGAGCCTCTGCTCACAACCAGCAGCACAGAATTGGTTTTGCAATCTTGTGACAGCAAAAAACCCAAGAGATTGATGGAAGCTGGGAGTGAAACAGTAGCCTTACAAATAATAATATTAAAACATGACGTACTGTCCTGTTTCTCCAGAATTTAGAGCATTACTTATTCCTGTTTATTTTTGCTGTCTTTTTATTTGTCCCTTTTCTTTTTACACATGAATTAGATTTTTTTTCCTTTGCTGTGGAACGGTTCATTTCAGTAGGTAGGTCCAACTGGGATCACTGAATCCTCTAATGTCAAATTAAACATGCAGCTTCCAATTAATTAGCTTGCATCCAACTAATGAAATAACCATGATGTATGACACTTGGGCATTTGTTAACATGACTAACAGTGAAAGCTAGATAATGCTCTGATTTGCTTTCTCTTTCCTCTGAATCAGACCTTCACAAACCAGTAAATGCTACTTATGAATCAACAAACTTAAAAATATCTTCTGCAGCCACAGAACTGTTGGAACCCTTTGGCTGGGATTTTCAAAGCTGTGTGTACGCACCCTGCCTTACCACAGAAAAACTTTCACACTTGTGGGGTTTTCAAAAAAAAAAAAAAAAAGTCTGAGCTGAGCACAGAGTGTTTGTACCCGTTGGGGAAGAACGCGCAGCTTTGGGGTTATCCCTCTGGGAGGTTCAAAGCAACAGTCAAAGGGTGCCTGTCACGGCTCTGATTAGGTATATGTGCTGCCTGACAGAGGTAATGGTGTCAGGGCAAGGTCATTCATAGCAGCCAAGAGTGCACATGCACCCTGCACTGAAAGCTGTGTCTCTGTCACTTCTCTGCTGCATTATCCAGGCAAGTCAGTGAAAACCATGCCTTACCCTTGTAGCAGCCACTCACAGCATATAGCCTGAGTCTATGCGAGATGCAGAGTACAAGTTAACCAAGGTGATGAAGCACTGAGCTGCCATTCTCCTGGGAGTCAGTGCAGCTTTTAAGGAGCTGTGTTCAATGTCTGCTGGTGGGAAGCTAAGGGAGTCCCACAGTTTCTGGCAAGCAGCTCCCTGGAAGCTTTCCCTGGCTCCCCAGTGCTTGCAGAGGGGCTGGAAAGCCTGGCTGTGGAAACTGCTGGAGGATGCAGTAGCGGTCGCATGGCACCAGGTCCTTGTTTCCATCCCTCATCCCAGCGGGAGTATTTGCCTTTTCTCTGCTCTCTGACCTGGCAGGAAGGAATGCGGATATCAGGGAGGATGTGGAAGAAGCTGCAGAGATGGCACTGCTAGGGCTGGATGACCATGATAAACGCACCATCCCCACCGCCCGTTACCACCCTCAGAGCTGCTCTGTGGAGGTTAGCACCTCTGCTGCCTGGGTGCCTGGGGATTTACAGCATCAGCCCCAGTCAGGAGCAAAGCAGCCCCCAGGCACTAAGGCATGCTGTCTTTCCCCTTTTCATCCATCTCTGACTTTACAAATTATTCTTCAGAGAGCTAAGCTTTGCAAAGCATCACACTGCAGAAATCTTTAATTTAGTGCTGCTGAAATGATGAGGGCTGAAATTAATGATTAGCGTGAGAGAAAACTGTAGTCGGTTCAGGCTGTATTAGAAGACCAGTGCACTGTAGGAGAGAGAGTGATGAGCCCTACTTGTGAACTGTTTTGGCTTACATGACCGTTATGTCTTGCTCTGAACAGATCCTCGGAACAGTTCCCTTAACCATTGCCTTGCTGTTTCTTTCAGATGTAAATCTTGAATACAGTTTAACTGACGAGTATTGCAGGCATCATTTCCTGGTGGGGATGCTTCTCAGAGAAGCTTCTGTTGCCTTGCAGGACAACTATGATATCAGATATACGGCCATCTCAGTCTTAAAAAATCTCTTGATAAAGCATGCCTTCGACAACAGATACCAGCACAAGGTCAGACACATTTTGTTGGCTTTTAAAAATAACGTTCTTGAGTTTTATGAAAAAAAACATACATCAGGGTTTTAGATCTTGCATGGTACACTGAGGGTATTCTCTTTACTTTTTAGGGAACTGTTGTAAGTAACTGACAATTATGGCATTACAGAAAGCTCTGAGAAATTATCTAGGAACACAAAAAATGCAGTCAGATAACTGCAGCACTCGTTTTCATGCTGAGTATTTAGATAATAAAGCGCTGAGCCATTAAGGAACTTGAGAGTGTCGTTAGCCAAGAGGCTGTTCAACAAAATTAAGCAATGTCAATGTTCTTCTGGTCTTGGGCTTAAATTAATATCCTGCATTAATAGACTATAATTAGGAAATAGGACTGATCTCTGTTACAAGACAGCTGCATGTTTTACTAATTAGTGAATCAGAGGAGAGGATCTGTAGATTCTCAAGAGATGCTGGATTTCTGATGGGTACTTTTCAGCTTGCTTTGGTCAGAGGCTCAGCATGTGGTACTGCTGAAAGAGCCTGGAGATGGGCTTGTTTTCTTTCTTGATGCTGCTCCCTGCTGAGCTATACGTCCTTGATAGTGCTGAGCTACCTGTGCAGACACTACCTGTCCTTGCTCTAGGCTGAAAACACACCTCTATTTAGAGGTCAGCTCTTCAAATTGCTCCTAGTATGCTGCATTCCTGGGTTTTATCTGGGAATGTGATGGCCTCCTGGGCACGAAGGGTGGGAGAAGTGTGCCCTCTGCATGGACCCAGAGCCAGCTCCTCTCCTCTCCCTTCTCTGTCTGTTTGGAAGGTCTGAACGGGAGGTGGGCTTGCTTTTCTCTGCAGTGAGGACCCCTGGTGACTTGCACAACCTGGAAACAAAGCTGCAGCCTGTGGTAGTTGGCAAGACTTGATATTTCAGGAGAGATTTGCCAGCTCTCTGCCAAGACTAGGTCAGAGGCGGTCTGTTTCTGCTCTTGTGGGTGCCTGAACACCCTCACGCTAGTGCAGGAGCTGTTTGCCCCCTTGGCGTGCAGCACTCTCCCTGCCTCCTCAACACCACCTTACTTAAAATTGTCCCACTGGATTTTTGTACGTGTTGTGCTCTGGGCTGGGTGACCAGGAAACTGCCTGGAGCCTGGGCAGGATGCTCAGCTGGTGTCCCGAGACAGGAGCAAAAAAATCACATCCCAGGCAGGACAGGCTGAGCATGGCAGGGTCTGCTGCTGCAGTCTGCCTCTGACCAAGGAACCTCGGCTCCATCAATGTCCAAGAGAGGGTTTTCTCAACCCATGGGCATTTTCAAGATTTCTTTTATCTTTTGTCATACTGAATCTGAAGAAGAAATGTGTCAGTCAAAATGTGACATTCAGTTCTCAAGACTTACATTTTTTTTAACCTTTCTGTCAAGTCCAGAATAATAAGTTTTTAACAAAAAAGAATTGTATGTAAGAGAGCTCTGCATTTAGAAAAAGTCACTCAGATCATTTTTGATCTGTATCACTTAATCCAAATTAATCTGTTTCTACAAACTGTTTTAACTAGAAGCATTTGCTATGGAGGATTCCTGACTGGAAGCAATAGCCAGCACCAGGCGAGGAGCAAATGTTTTTATTTCCTTACTCCTGAGTGTTGCCATTGAAAATGAAGCCATGTGAATGAAGTGCCAGTTAAAGAGTTGGGAAATCCAGGATTTAATTTGTCACGCATCCTGTATGACTGGGAATGTTATTGAGCCCCCAAAATCCCTGAGTGCCCCAAGCTTGCTGCTAGCAGGGTAATACCTAGCTGCCAGTTCTGGAAGTAGAGATGAGAAGCCCAACCAACCCATGTCCTGAGACACCTTTTAGAATGTATAAATTTATATATCTGTGTGTTTGTGTGTATATGTGTTTAGGCTCAAGAGTTTCCCTTTTCCACTCCATTGAAAGCCTGGGCTCTTACCTTCATTTTTCTCCCTGTGTTTTTTCAGAACCAGCAGGCAAAAATCGCCCAGCTCTACCTGCCGCTGTTTGGGCTGCTCCTGGAGAACCTCCAGCGCGTGGCCAGCCGTGAGGCGCTCTACTCCTGCGCGGCTGCCTCCAGCCCTGTGAGTAAAGCCCAGCGATGCCTCTGCCCTCCTTCTTGGTCCTCCTCTCCCCGCACACACCCTGTGCAACTCCTACTGCCTGCAGCCAGACTCAGCTTTAGAAATAACTGTGTTTTTCTTCTCCCTGCAGCCCTGTACTGTGCTTGTGTGTTTCAATTTGGTGTTTCCTATGATTTTGTTCTGTCTGCAGCCCTTTTGCTTGCTATCGTTTAATGTGTTTCTTTATGGTACATGTAGTGCCAGGAGGTGAGTCCCTCCAACTGCAATGAATTGCAACAGGACTCAGCCTCAGACTCCAGCAGCTGTTCTGGGGAGTTGCCCATCTGTCTGAGGGTTGTATGTGGTTCCCAGGGAGGCTTAGCCTTGCAGACTAGACTTCCATACTTGTTCAGGCAAAACAACAACAAAAAAGACATTTAAAAAAAACCAAACAAATTTCAACTCAAATGATGAAAAACAAAAGGGAAAAACCTGCTATGGCTTACTTTAGTATGTTCTGCTATTTCTTGTACTCCTCCCCTTGTTGTTTGTCTCCTTGTCATGGAAGTAAGAAATTAGAAATTTTTTTTCATCTCTTTTTAAATCTGCTCTAATTTGCTTTTTTTATTTCATAATTCTCTTCTGTAAGAGAATAAGTGTTATCTTCCATTGATCACAAAAACCTCACACTGCTTTACAGGCATCCAGGGAGGAATTCATGTGCAGTTTTGCATCCCCCTCAAATAGATCCAGCCTGATTGCAGACAAAGATGCAGGTAAACTAGTTTTTCTAAACTTTAACTTTCCCATTTATTTTGAATGTAACTATTACCAGTCCAAAAACCCAAAACCCATTACCCAAAAATCTGAAATAGCCGTTTGCCAAAGGGCCTCTCAGAGTTTGTGTGCTTTTCCCTGGACATGGTGTCACCCCAACTGTCCTTCCCAGATTAATCAGCTTTTGACGCGGGGCTTTGGCAAGCCCTGTCTGTGCTGTCCAGATCACATCCTCCGCTCCCTGTCTGTGATGTGCTGAGCAGTGCCAGTGCAAATGGTATAACCGGGGTTTGTTTTTTTTCCAGCCTGCGGAGCAGCACTTCCCAATGGCCATACAATAAAACGAGAAGACTCAAAGGGATCCCTGAACTCAGAGGGGGCAACCAGTTCCCCAGATCAGAGTGAAAATGTAATGTATCTGGGGTTAGAAAGGATGGTTCTCACTGTGCAGTCTGTGGGCTGTGTTAAATAAGGGGGAGGGAGAAGGAGTTCCCCATGGTAATGCTCTTAAAAGCCAACTTATAAATATCTCTCTAAACAAACAGATGAATGTTTAACAGAGGAGGTCAGGCTCACGAGTTTGGTTATACTTTCCTTCTTCAAACATCTCTGAGCCAAAAATATAACTGTTGACAAATTACTTATCAAAGATGAAAGGAAAAATCTATGGGGAAAATCTCTGCTCCCATGGTGCCTTTATCCACACTCAGACATGCTCCCTGTGCGGGGATGGGTCTCAGCCTGGCCGGTGCCCAGTGCATGGTGATGGGAACTGGTTTCCACACATGGCTGGGAGGCAAAGCATCGTGATGTGAGATTGCCAGCAACCGCTGACTTAAGAGAAGATGGGGTATTTGTAGGAAAATCAGCACAGGCTAATGACCACAGGCCAGATTTGCAGAAGGTGACCATGGCCACACCACAAAGAGCTCTGACCCCACTGTTCAGACTGGGCGTATTCTCCTCACTGTCAGATTGCATGCATGGAAATCAGGTATTTGTGCAAACCAGCCCCTGGTTTTCCTCAAGGCGCTTTCCAGATGTCTTGGGCTGACATGAATCATTGATGCATCTTTAAAAACTTTGGCCCTCACAACAAGCAAGGCAAAGATTATCAGGGCTCCTGCTGGCTGTGTGCTGGCATGCTTTGGAGAGGTGGGACCTTTCAAGCTCTCCCACATGAATCATGAAGCTACAAGACCAAGTATAGCCAAATGCTCAACTATCAAACTGTTCATATTCAGCAAAGCTCAGAGCGTATGCTTCAGCCCTGCTGGCAGCAATACCTGGCAGGGTTTGCAGAAAGAGTTATTGCTTGCAGCTCAGCTCTTCCCCACAGCTAGGCATCCTCTTCTGTGCTCTCAAAGGTACATTTTTCAGTCACTGAAAACAGCTTTTCTGTTAGGGACTGCGACAACCACAAAACCATTTAAAAATAATGTCAAGTGGAGGAGCACACCTTTAATGTTACTCTACAGAGATGGTCACGTTTATCGCCTGTTCCCCTGGAGTGAGTTGTGTGCTGACTTGATACTTTGGCATGGTCAACAGCAAAGTTCTCGCTGTAGCACTCTATCTCCAACTCTAAACTGAATGTTTAATTCTGCTTTATTATGACTCACATACGCAGCCTGTCCCAGAATAAACAACAAATAAAATCTGTAGATCACTGTCCAAACATGTGAGGCACAGCTTTAAGAGCAGCATCCTGCTTAGAGTTTAATCTTATCCATTTGTCAGAGGATACGGCTAGGGCAAGCACAGAGAATGCAAAAAAAATGGTAAAGCATTAGAAGTCATGTTTCCTACCACACAATGCCCCAGCCTTTCCCACACAGATTAACTCACCAGCAGGATTTCACTAATCTTTGTCTAAGTCACTAAGCAGGAGGAAAACCAAGACCTACTTCCAAAAATCAGGGGAAAAAAAGTTCTTAAACTGAAATTTCCTGTTTTTTTAATAACTGACATTTTGTTTTGAAGTGTAGGTCTTTAACAGAAATTTAGATTCTTGCTTTAAACTGTGACAGCTAATGAACTATTTTGTTTGACAAGAACTGACTTAAAAAATATGACAGAGCTTAGACACTGCAGAGAGCAGGGGAAGTGAAAGCAGGGCTGCTGTGCATTTTGCTGGATAAGCCATCATTCTCTGCCCAGACATTTTTTTTTCCGGTCAGAGAAGTGTTCGGCCATGTGTCCAGGATTTCCAGCTCACTGGATGGGCAGCAACTTGAAGGATGCGATGTCTCCCAGACATGTCAGAAATGGTGCTGTGGGGATGCAGACATAGGGGGACAGGAGGAGTGCTGGCACATCTGGATTTGCTGTGCCCACGCTGCACGGTGTCTAGCCCTGTGCTCTGCTCAGGCACAGCGCCGGCACCCAGGGCCACTGGCCTCCGCATCACATCCGTGTCCCGTTAGATCCGCAGAAGCTCCACGAGGAGCAGCGTGTCGCACTGCAGCCGCCTGGACCAGTTTGAGATCCGGACACTCCTGATGTGCTACCTCTATATCGTGAAGATGATCTCTGAAGGTTGGTGGGTCTTGCTCACAGTGGGGCAGCCAGAAAGACAAGAGGCCATCCCTGTCGGGTTTGGTCTGTTAGGACCTCCTTTTATTTTTTTTTAATCTCAGTGCACTGTTTTTTTTTTCTTTCTTTCAGATACTCTTTTAGCTTACTGGAACAAATTCTCCCCTCAGGAGCTGATCAATGTCCTTGTGCTTCTGGAGTGAGTATGACAAGGCTGCAATTCAAACACTGAGCATTTGTGCAGGCAGCGTGGGCAAAGAAGATGACATGAGTGTGGTGTGCTTTGCTCAGTGCCTGTGGTCTTGTGCAGCGCTAGAGGTGCCTGGCCAGGGTGCAATGAAATACTCCTCCTTCCCCTGATAAGAAACAGGCGTATATCGAGGGAGCAAGGTGAAGTGGCGGTGCCCTGTGCTTGGTCTGGGCTGTGCAGAGGGTGTCCCACCAGCCACGGGCAAGCGGGGCTCACGGCTCAGCCTCCACCCTAAGCAGCACAACCTCCACTTTGCAGCGGGTTGGGTGGAACAAATGGGTGAGGAGACAGGGATGTGCCATAGGGTTTGGAAACCAAGGGTGTGAGGTCAAATAACATGTAGATACAAACCCCAAACGCTCATGCACAGAGGAGTGTGTCTGCAGACAAGGACAGGGTAGATTTTAAATGTTCTGGATTGTTCCTGATCTGCAGGATCTGTAACAGATACATATTTTATTTTCTTCCTAGGGTGTGTTTATTTCACTTCAGATATGTGGGGAAGAGAAATATTGCCAGGTACTGTATTCTTCCGTCTGGGGCTGGGGTGGGGGGCCATCTCCATGCTCCCTGCCACAGCCGAGGCAGGAAGGGAGTGTGCACACCCACGCCGGCCGAACCCAAGCAGGCAGGAAGCCTGTGGGACCGGGACTCTGCTCAGTGCCATGCCGTGAGCTGAGTCCCCTCATCTTAGCACCCTGCCCCTTCCCTCCCCTCCAGCTCCTGCATGAGACCCCCAGGCCCAGGTGCTCCCGGCTGCCCAAGCAGGTTGGCAGCATCCCCCACAGTCGTCTGCAGGTGAGACATGAGCCGCATCTCTGCTCCCTGAGCAGCAGCGCTGCTGTTCCGTTAGCTCTAGGGCCATCTGGCACAGGTGAGACCAGGGTAGCCTGATCAATCCCACTGGGATTGTCTGGGATAGTCCAGATTAGTGCTTTGGAGGGAGGCCAGGTTTCCATCCTGGTGCCTCGTGTAATTCTGCCATGGTGTGGCTTCTGCTGCTTGTCCAAACCTGCAGTCTTCACTTCCCATTGCAGGGTGAACGACGCTTGGTTATCCAAACACACCGGAGCTGATAGGAAATCCCAGACGATGCCAGCACTCCGCAGCAGAGCTGGGGGGATGCAGGTGCGGCTCCAGCATCTGGGCAGCTTGGAGACCTCCTTCACGCTCAACCACAGTATGTACAGCAGAGTGAGATGGGACCTGCTAAAAACTGCACGTAGCCCTTTTCCATGTGCTGCTTGTTGCTTCAGGACATTCAAACTCTTACGAATTACAGTTGTCACCATTCATCCCTGCACCATCCCTAGATTGGTGGGGCTGACATTTGAGCCAGCCCCTTAAAATTCACCCCTGGGACTTAGGGCTTGTGTGGCTTTTTCCTCTCGCCTGTCTTGGCTCATCTTGGCTGAGTGTGTGTGCAGGTGATGCCTTGGTTTGGGTAGCACGCAGGGCAGGCAGGAAAGCTGCCCTGCGCAGAGACCTGGGCCAGGATGTGCTCTAAGACTCTCCACAGGGATGAGTTTTGCCCCATTGAAGCACCTTGCTGTTTCCCCTCTGCAGATACAACTTGGACACCTCATTCTCTATCTGGCTTTAAAGACAGTGAGATAAAGGGGAAATACTGACATTGGTTTTCTTGGTTGTCATAAGGCTGAGACAGCTTCTCTGAACGTAGCTGGCAAATTCAGCTCTTGCTTTGCTTCCCTCATCTCCCAAACACAGTGAAGTGTAAGGGGAGAACCTTATCTATATCAGCATTGAGATCTTGTGGGAGCTGGAGTGTTGAACACCGTTTCCTCCTGATTTGCTTTTCATCCACAGATGCAGGCACCTCAGAAGCAGATATTGTGCACCAGGCGTTACTGGAGGGCAATATTGCCACCGAAGTGTGCCTGACAGTCCTGGACACCATCTCTTTTTTCACTCAGAGCTTCAAGGTCAGCATGGAAATTAAAAGTGTTGTAGAAAAGTCTGCTGTATTTCTGTATGCATGTTGATTTTGGTGATTCTCCGAGAGTGACAGCTTATGGAAGGCTTTACAAAAGCAAATCAGTTGCAGCTTGTTTGTTTTCCAAAACCCTGAGTGTTTCACAGGCTCTCAGAGTAATGATGCACTTAGGCAATCTTGCAATTTCTTCAAAACTGCAAGACCAGAGAAAACTGTGTGGACATTATACCATGAGTGTAGGCATTACAAAAATAGAATAAGAGGAAATGTACAACATATAGAAAGGAGGGACTAGAGGAAAGGGAAATGAAGCTCTAGCATTCTTAGAACAGTCACTGTTTTGTACCATAGATTGCCTAGAAGCGAGGCCCACATTTCTTTGAATTGCTGTACATGAATGCCTCTGGGACTGAGGCATTCCAGCTGTGGTTACCAGCTCAGATAGGACCAGTACCACTGGTAGAAGTCTTCTCCTCCATATAGTGATTCACACTCCCAGCAGTCATTGCCATCTACAAGAATCAAAGCCTCTATGGTGAAGAGAACACCAGGCTGGCAGCAAAATACTGAAATGCTGTTCCAGAAAAGCTCTTCCTCAAATTGTGGTTGCAGGAATCCTGCTCTTAGCAGTGTGTCTTGCATGAAGTCACAAGAACAACTCCAGATTTCAGAATAAGCACAATGAAGATTTCCCTTTTGGATAGATTGAACAACGTGAAGAGGCAGGTCATCACATCCTCTGCTTCTATTACAGAGCAAAAAAGCCATCCTGGTGCATATGTTAGATTACTCCTTAAAAGTCTGGCAACAGCAGAAGGATTTAGATGCAAGAGTTAAAACTCGTTTGACTTTCTCAGTTGTCTTTTTTTGAATATGGTTAAACCACAAAACAATGTGATTTTCAAACCACCGGATAGACTGGATTCCCTTCCGCTTTAATGGGCTTCTGCTTTGCTTTTATGGTCATACAGTGTTACCACACAGAAGTGTGCTCTGTACTGCAGTAAAAGTGCTGATGTTGTTCTTACTGACAAGAGTTAAATGAGTTCAGTTAAAAAGTATGGATCCTAAACTTACCCTGCTATAAGATGTGTACAGGATGTCAAACGACAAACCTGAGCCAGCCAAGGCTTGCTTGCACTGGCAATGAGATAGAAACTATTGATCTCCTATTGCGATGGGGCATCCATGTCCTTGCTGGGTGGCCACAATGTGCCAGGCTTCCTGTGCAGTGGCTGCAAGGATGGCAGCAGGCATAGGCAAGATAACCCTGACACCAAACTATATGAATCCTCTCCAATTCCCTTTTACCACCTCTCTTCAGGGAAGGGGGAAATGGGAGAGAGGTTTCCAGGAGGTGCAAACTGTCAAAACTTTGCAGAACTCAAGGGAAGTGTACTGACTTACTGCAGTAAGAATCTGTCCAGTGAAATGATGTGATAGTCGCTCTTTTTTCCCCTCTCTCTCTCCTTTGGGCTGCAAATAAAACACTTGTTGAGACACATAAAAAGAAGTGGAAAAAACAATGTGATAAGTTATGTTGGAAACAGCCTGTTTTATTTAAAATAACTCTAGGCAACTGGTGAAAGCTGTGCAGATTATTGAGTTAGGTTTTGGAAGTAGTGATGCAGAAGTGATAAAATATTTTTGTTTTATTCTCTGCTGTAAAAAATAGCCTCTGAGCAACTAGTGTAAGTTTGTACTGGTTGTCACATTTGTTGGTTATTTTTTACTGAAGGCCCTGTTCCTTATCTGGCTTAAGAACTGATGTGATTAATTATGTCAAATTATCTCTGTCATTTCCAGTTTCAGGCACAACATTTCAGAAAAATAAATTCTCTCATTGCTTTCCAGACCCAGCTTTTAAGCAACGATGGCCACAATCCCCTCATGAAGAAGGTTTTTGATATTCATCTTGCTTTTCTCAAAAACGGACAGTCGGAAGCAGCTCTTAAGCATGTGTTTGCCTCTCTGAGAGCTTTCATTAGCAAGGTATGTGATACATGACTCCAAAGGTGCAGGAGAATGTATATAGATATGGCAGAAGAGACTGGTATGCTTAAACTCCTGGTAAATTGATATTTTATGCTGTTTGGAGAGGTGTTTTAGAAAACAACTTCTTCACTGATTTAAAAACCATCCCAGGTTAAGTTATCTATTTCAACAATTATTTATTATTTATTGGATGTCAGGAAACAAAAGGAGAAATTGCAAGGAATTCCCTCACTTGCCTTGGTCACGAAACTGCTGTTAAAGATTAGGATCTGTTCGACTGAAACCTCGTGCTTCTTGAATCTTTGCCCCAAACTGTCAAGATTGCTGACAATGCTATTGCTTGAATAATACTTGTACTGACAAGCTGCTCCTCTCCCATTGCGTTTGAAAGTGGATAGTACTTGCTGAACCTCTTTCTACACTTTTCTGAGCCCTGGAACGCAGCAAGCCTGTTTAATCACCTGAGCTCAAGCAGCATCAAAGCTGCAGATAACCACATAAGAGCAGTGACAGCTGCTATTGCTGACGTTTCCCTTTGTGCTTGTCAAAACCTGCCGCTTCTCATGTTTTCAAGACCAGATGTACATGCAAACTGCGTTGTTTCCAAGCTGCATGGTTATCATAAATTCGAAATGAATTAAAAGCTCTTAAATCACTTCAATGCAACACTTCGCTAATGAAGTAAATCCATGTGGCGTGAGATTGCAGGCAGGCGGAGCGCGGCGTGTGGATGATATGCAGCAAAGCATTACTGCCAAAGGAGGTCTGGTGCTAGTCACCGAGCAGAGTTTGATTGAAGAAAGAGACTGCTAAAACCATATGTCAAAGGTGGAAAAAGTCTGTGCTATGAACGTTTTACTATAACTCCAAAGAAAAGCTAAGAGCTGGTATGGGTTTGTCTGGGGATGAATTTTGGGCTGTCCTAAGCCAACACATGAGAAGCAGAAAATGCAGAAGTCTTGCTAGCTACCTGTCTGGCTCCGGACAGCGTGGTCTCCTATGAGAAGTTTTTCCACAGGGCTTCTGAAAGCCTGCCAGATTGTTTTAGGAATCCCTCTGGTTTTCTACATGTTTATCGCTCTACTTTTCTTTTGAGTTTTCTGCTTGAGTGTGATCTGCTGTACCTTCAGGTCACACACCCCCCTCAGACACCATCTCTGCACGTCTCTTCCCCTTACTAGTTGACACTTTATTTAGCCAGAAATACTTGGTTTGTGCCTGTAACAAATAAGAGACCTTCCTTGCCTCCCTGGCAAATTTTCTGTGGTTGTTTAAATGCGAAGCCAAACCTGCACACCTGCTCAATTTGATCTCCCCAGCAGCCTTCAAAACCTGGAGCCCTTCAGGGTTCTTCGTTCACTTTCCAAGATGCAGCAGCACAGGCTGCCTTCTTGCCTGCTGGAAGGATGGGCAGTGGGGTTGTTTTCTTGGATTTATACCAGCCTGAATCCATGCCAAATTTGGCACCATGGGTCTTCAAAGATGTGAAAGATTGATTTTTTTCAGTTAATTTCTCACATTTCCCCTATGACAGGACACAGTGTTGCTTCTGTAAAAGCAAGATATGAGCCCAGCAGATGGTATCTATAAGGAAGTGCTTTCTTTGCCAACTCCATAACCACGAGTCCCAAACTTCCTTTTAAGTCCTCTGAAGGGCTATTCTAAGGCCCAAAGTGACAATAAAAGCAAGGGGGAGGGTGTCGCTGCATTCATGACAAGTGCAAGGATGGCATGTTTTTGTTTTTTAAATATGAAAGCTGCACTGCTTTGTTTTGGGTTGCATATCACTGTTACCTATAAATTAGTGTTAATATCAAGAAAACTAGAAGTGAGTTATACTTTTGATGCAGTCAGAATGGACAATTTGTCATTTTTATGGCCTTCTGTAGCTAATAATTACAGTGAAAAGAATCCCCCTCTTATCTAGGGTCACAGCAAATGGTTGCTGGAGGAGAAAAAAACTGAGATTTATTCTGCACCCCAAAAATGTGTCTTAAAAATAGCTTGCTTTCTGCATTAAATCTGGTTACTTGATAGGCAAAAGACTTAAAAACTGAGAAATGTTGCAAGAAAGCAAAGAACAAACAAGTTCCATAATTGCTTGCATGTTTGGTTTTGGTTTTAAAATGAATCCTGCTTGAATGCATCTGGGCTAGGAATTTGGAAGAAAGCTGTCTCTGTTTTACTGGCTAGGAAAAGCTAGATTTGCTCTTGTTTTGTAGTCTATGTTTTCTTAACAACTAACTCCTTTTCAGAGCATCACTTATGGATAAATACATACATACATGCTTGGGATGTCTTGAGATTAAATGTTATGAAGAAAAACGTGCACGGAAGAGGGGGCTGAGATAATTTGCTCTGCATTGAAGAGCAGCTCAGACACGTTGATGTGAGAGCGATGGAAACGCCATGTAGCTGCCTGCTCTGTGCCTCCCTGTCCCTCGGTGTGTTGGCACTAGCAGGGCACATGAGAGGCATTGCAAATCCCAGGCCCTGAAGGACCGGGGCAGCAGAGCCTTGCTCCTTTCCTGCAACAGCTCTTTTGGGAAGTTTCTCCCTGTCCTGTTAGTAGTTTCCCCTGACCATGTCAAGCTGTGCTTTCCTTCCCCATTAGTGGTCTCAGGATGCAGCAGCGTTACAGCCTCCCAGGCAGTTGTGAAGGGCACTTGGCACGTCCTGCCCGCTGCTGTGGCTGCCCTGCTCTCTGTCCCTTTTGTGCCAAGGCCTCTCTGAGAGCTGCCTGCTGCATTGCCTCCTGCTCTGGCCCTTTGCATTAGAGCTGCATCAGAAGTGTGCTCCTCCAGCACTCAGAGTCGTTGCCACACGTGCTGTTTTGCAGCTCTTCCCAGCTTGTGCTCTCTCGCCAGCTGGAGAGGCGGAGGCAGCACCTGGCCAGATCCCCACCAGGCACATGCCCTCGGGTCCACTGCCCCAAACCTGGCACCAGGAGCAACTGCATCTGCTTGGACTTGGTGTCCAGAAGGCAGCTGCCTGGGGACACAGGTTCCCTATGAACAGGGCACAGGTTTTCCTCCCAGAGCTGATGCAGTGTGAAGGGGAGCACACAGGGAGGGACCTTGGGCTTCTTCTGCAGCAGATTCCCAGGAGAAGTTTTTCTCCCTAGCATTGGGTTGGAAATGTCTGAAAAGCCTCTGCAGGCAGGCAGTGGTCCCTGCTGAGAGCAAGTGCCAGCCATATCTTCTTGGGTGCCCGTGTGCTGCCTGTGCATGCCCGATCACACAGCACCGTGGCCAGCTCTGGGCTAATCCCAGTTCTGAGCATGACCCGAAGGATTGCATTACAACAGGCAGCAATTACTTAATAATTCCTTTCCCAGGCATGTGATCCTCTTGGCCCTGTGTTACTGTGATGTTTGTTTGCTTGTCTTCTTTCTCACATTTTTTTTCTGAAAATGTTTTTGGCTAAAGGCAGTGAATATTTGCTCAGCATCTTCATTCTGCCTTGTAACCTGTGTGGCTCGGTGTAATCCCAACGGTGTAGTCTTGCTAGCTGCATGCAGCTCCAAGATTCCTGTTTTGAGACCCTTTCACCAGCCCACCACAGTGGTGGCCACAGCAGTACCTACAAGCTTTTCTGAATCATATATACGTATTGCAAGGAGTAGAGGACCATGGTTACAGCTCCAGGCTCTGACTTGGAGGAAGCAAGTCAATACTGTTGCAGTATTTACTGTCATCTCCCATGGGGAGAAGGTAGTGGGGCTGATAGAAGTGGCTCATGGACCATGCCCTGTGGCGACCACTGGGTTTTGAATGAACTGAGCACATCTCTCCTCTGAACAGACAAAAAGTGTGGTTGCCTCTGTTGCCTGTTTGGTCCAGGAAATTCCCTGAGGCTGGTCCCCAGCTATGACAGAGGGAGCAGAGTGCTGCTCTGCAATGCTTGAACAGCCTCTGCTCCCTCCTGGGATATGCTGGCATCACCCCCCCCAGCCAGGTCCCTGCGGTGGCTGCGGAGGCGGCTGTGTGCCAGCACAAAACCCTTCCTTCTTCTGCTTCCCTGCACCCAGCCCGCTGCGGCTGGGGTGGAAGGACGCCAAATGCGGTGCCCCCTCCCCACCAGTCACCACTTGTGACCACGGCCAGACAGATGCACAGGCGGTCCCCGGCTCCGGTGAGCCCTGCATGGAGGCTGCTGCCTGCCGGGCAGGGCACTGCTGCAGCCGGCTGCTTTTCAGGCACGGCTGAGCTTGGCCCCACGGATGTGCTCAGAAGTAGGTGTTTGGTAAGGTGATAGACATGCTGCAGCAGTACAGGGTGCTGGTCTTCCACTTCTGCTTTTCTTCACCCTGCTGCAAATCTCTGAGCCCTGTTGCTGATCGAGGTACCTCACGCTGCGGTTTGGCTTCGTCCTGCTGCTCCCTGGGGCCGACTCCGGCTGGGCGCCAGGGCAGGTCACTGGGTATTTTAGGATCTCTAGGACAAGCAAGTCTCTTGTTTGCATTCCTGACAGCAAGCCTGATTTTAGGCTTTTTGGGGGGAACATGTAGAAGTAGCTGTACAAGCATCACAGGTCGTGTTTCCCAGGGAGGTCAGAATTCTGGCTGGGCTCTGGCAGATTTTCAGATGTCCCAGATGGCAGCCTTTGGTGGAAATGTCTGTGAGACCTCTCCTCTCTGCCCCACTGCTGCTGTTTATGGCTTTTGCAAGAACATAAAACTTCTGTCTGTCCAATTTGGTGAGAATTGATAATGAACCCAAAAGCTGTTGGGGGAGGGGATAGACACACATTCACAAGCACATCCCCAAGAAGCGTGACAGCAAAATTCACATTGTGGGGAATTCATCCCCACAAATGCTTTCAGGCTCAGATATCTCAGCAGAAGGTTTGTTGAGGCTGCCCAGGCTGGAGCTCAGTGTGTTGCCCCATGCCTTTGGCCATTGAAGCCCTGTGGGTTTCATTTAGTGGTATATTTTCTAATATTTGCATGCCTCTTGTGAAGTTTCCCTCAGCGTTTTTCAAGGGAAGGGTGAACATGTGCGCTGCCCTCTGCTATGAGATCCTGAAGTGCTGCACTTCCAAGGTGTCCTCCACAAGGAACGAAGCGTCCGCTCTTCTCTATCTCCTGATGAGAAATAACTTTGAGTTCACCAAAAGGAGAACGTTTCTGAGAACGCATCTTCAGGTCAGTGACTGGGGAAAAGCTAGAGAGCAGGACACCTCAGATTTAATGAACAAATATATCAATATGACTATGTCACCTCACATCTGAAGAGGATCTTGCTGTTATCATCTCAACAAAAATCCTCTTGATTTCCAGGCTTTGCTTAGTTCCTGTTTCCAGTGGTTGGCCCAGGGCTCTCTGAGTAAAATACACTGCCATCAAGTACTCCCAAGTTGTTGAGTTTTTGAAATCATAGACACAAGACCCATCTCTGCCCTGGAGGCTGTCTGGGATGGGGTGGAAGGGACAGCAAGAAGACCCTCCTTTGAGGCAGGAGGAGGGATTTTTCTGGAGCTGCTTTTGCAGCGTTGGTTTAGATACCTAGCAGGGCAGATGAATACTGTCTGGGCTGTAATGAATCACGGAGGAAGGTAACTAATCTACACACCGGGGTTTGTATTATGATTGTTATATTGTTAACTCTGTGAACTCGCTGTTCAGCAGAGCAGTTTGGTCCTCTGGGGAGTATTTGTCCTTGGAATATGTGACAGTAAAGCCACAACAGCCGTAGCTTACGTGAAAGACGTGATGTTTTCCTATGAGCATTTTATGTAACTGTGACAATAAAATTCCTTTATTAGGGCTCGTTTAAATAAAGCTCCTACCCTGTCCCACCAGATAATAATTGCAGTGAGCCAGTTAATAGCAGATGTGGCACTCAGCGGTGGAACGAGGTTTCAGGACTCCTTGCTCATCATTAACAATTTTGCAAACAGTGACAGGCCTATGAAGGTAAGTTGGAAAAGTTAAATCACGTCATGTGCTAACCTCAGTTAGATGTTGAACAACGATGTAACAAAATTATAGTTAGGCTATACCTGGCAAACACCTCAGTTCTTTTCTGTACACAGATGTTTATAAGGGTTTCACTGAGACATGATCATGTTTTACATCATGAGACCATCATTATATCCAGTTTAAGTGGAAGAGTACAAGAGAGATTTCAATACACTGCAGAGGAAGCCGTGCACAGCCACAGAGATGGCTAGGGAGCAGGAGCCCAAGGAGAGGGAACGTGAGCAAGGCTCATCATGGAGAAAAGAAAGCTGAGAGGGGACCTAACTGCTGCTTTCCACTGCCGAAAAGGGAGGCTGTAGAGACGAGGAGGTCAGGCTCTTCACAGAGGTGTGGAATGGCAGGACAAGAGGCAATGAGTATGAGTTGCTAGAAGGGAAATTCCAACTTTACTTAAAGAATTTTTTTTTTTCCCAAGAATATGGTGCAGCCCTGGGGTAGCACCCAGACCAGAGATTGAATTTCTGTCCTCAGAGATTATAAAACTTGGCCGGACAAGCCTTGCTCTAATTCTATGATGGCCCTGCTCTGAGCACGGGATCAGACTGGAGCCTGTGTTTCCTTCTCCATTTATTACATTCCTGTGGTGGGAAGCTCTACAAATGCCTTTGGTGCTTTAGTAATTAAAGAGTGACCACATCAGAAACTAGCAAAACAGATATTGAATGACATGAAAATACTTCAGGCATGGTTTACAGTCCTATTCTGGGACATTTGTGTGCATGGAGCACTTCTGTCTTGCTCTCACACCACCTGCTCGGGATGCCAAAGTCCCTGCCTCTCTGTAGCACGCGAACAGCCAACCTGGTGTCCTGCGCTTGACCAGGAGAGACTGGCCCTGTGCACACCCAGATTGAAATACGTCTAATTGCATAGGAAATACTGTACTGTATGCAGCGTGAGTTCAATAAGGAAACTTATCTCCTGTGCTCTCGGAGTTTCAGATTGGCAGTAAGTGGAGTGTTGACTAAAAGGGTAGCAGTGGCCTCTCTTTGGCGAAGCCTGGAACACCATTTATTTCTGTGTTTGCTTCTAATTAGATTTGTTTTGTGTCAGGCAACTGCTTTTCCTTCCGAAGTCAAAGATTTGACAAAGAGAATCCGTACAGTGCTTATGGCTACTGCTCAAATGAAAGAGCATGAAAAGGATCCTGAAATGTTGATAGATCTACAATACAGTTTAGCCAAATCTTATGCAAGTACCCCAGAGCTGCGGAAAACATGGCTGGACAGTATGGCAAAGATACATGTGAAAAATGGAGACTTTTCAGAGGTAATTTGTGTAATTAAAAACATGGTGCACAACAAGACAGATGTACAGATGACATTTTAATTTTCCCTTTGTACTTTGCAGGCAGCCATGTGTTACGTTCATGTAGCAGCCCTCGTTGCAGAGTTTCTGCACAGGAAAAGTAAGTTTGTGCTGTTTGGGAGGCACAAGGAGGATGATGTAGTGATGGGTTTTGGGGGGATCAGAATATTTTAAAAGACAAGTTTCTCTTGATTTGGTAAATGATTGTTTTAGAAATAAGCTAAGAAGGAAAAAAAATAAAGCAGTGGATAAAGCTAGAAGAAAAGAGTATTTTTAAAGAAAGGAATCCAATTGTTCGTACACAGGCATTTACTAGGCTGGGTAGGTCTGCTTGGACAGTCATGTTGTCATGTTGCTGAGTAAAATAAGTACTGACACATCACGTCTCAGTTTAAATGTTCACTTGTATTTTACATTAGGAAATATGCTCACAGGGGAAGCCCATGTTAAAAACTGGCTGTCAGTGTGTTCACCAAAAGTATCACTATAGGCAGTACAGAAAACTATAGAAGAAAGCAGTCAAAATTCAGTCAAAAAATGAGACTATAGCCTAACTATACAAATATGTAAAGAAAAACCAGAAAAAAATGAGTGTTGTGGTTTAATGCAAAACAGGACTTACATGTTCTCAAGTAACATCACTTTGCAACTTTTCTTTTAGATAACTGTTCCACTGTTGCTATATTGACCCATTTCTCATTTCCATGTAAGAGAGTATTGTTGAAATGGACACTTAACGTTTCCGAAAGTTAAGGCTACATAAAAGCTGATTACGTGCACTGCCTTGGGTGGAAAGGTCTTAAGGGTCTTGCTCAGGGGGCTTGGAGTCCCTCCAAATTCTGTACTTCGTGTTGGCTAAGTGGCAAAAATCAGGACTTGTTTTTCCGATACATATACATATTTCACATGGCTGCAGATGGGAGAGTATTGAAGGTTGGCAATTCTTTATTTGTGTCCTGGAGGCTGCTTACTACCACCAGTGGTAAAGGAGAACTTCCAAAAAAGAAGAGGAACAAAGCCAAAAGAATATCAAGTTAATACATTGAGCTATCTCTGTCACTGGCACTCTTTACATACATGTGGGCTGGAAAGGGTTCAGTAAAGGCCAAACTACTCAGAGATGTGGGGTACATAAAAACTGTGCTTTCTACTAGGAGTGTACAGTCCTGTTCACTTACTGCTCAGCTCTCCAGCATCCAGTAATAGCTTTCATGTTGCATCTTCTGTGCAAAAATATACCCCTATCCTTCTCTCTTGACATTCAGCTGGTTGCAGCCCATTAGGTTAGTCAAAGATGGCTTACAGATAGCACACTGGGAAATCTGTTGTGCTTGGTCTTAGTTATGTACTAGGAATGACTCCCACGGCAAATGGCTGGGGAGGTTCTGATGTGTTCAGTCTCATACAGCAGATCAGTAGCAAAAGTGGGAGTCACGTCACCTGTACTTGTAGAACTTAGCTATCAGCTAGACTGCTCCCCCAGCCATTGAAGCATGATGTGCTTGAAATATGTTATTCCACGAATCTGTTTGCTTTTGTCTGCTACAGAACTCTTCCCCAGTGGATGCACTGCCTTCAGGAAAATCACTCCCAACATTGATGAAGAAGGTGCAATGAAAGAAGACGGTGGGATGATGGATATACATTACAGTGAGGTGAGGTCCTGCAGTAGAGACTACAGGATATTTGATAGCCGATTAGGATTTTGGTTTAGACTTCATTTGCATGAGCTCTAACAAATTATAGTTGTGCACTGGCACCTATAAGGAAGGTTATTCCATGGCAATTTCCCAAAACAAATCTGCATTGAAGGATTTTCTGTGTACGATTCAGATAGGTAAAACTAGTGTAGGTTCACGGTTCCTTTGAAAGGCTTTTCTAGCACTGAGACTGTAAAAGCTACACCACAGTCTTTGCCAGCCACATTATGCAAATGCTAATTCTTCTAGCACAGGGCAGTGTGGCGTGGTATTTCCAAAGAGGGACAGAATGCAAGTCAAGCTCTGCTAAGTGAGAGGTCATCTTAGGTTCCCCTTGAGTTAGGGCTGTGCTACAGGACACCACATTAGCAGAACAATGCAGAAACCATAGTAGGGCACTGGGGAAGTGGGTAGATCCTCCTGTGAGTCATGAAGTCTCACAATTATTTCTGCACCATCCCTGTACAACTGTGTTGGGTGGGCCATGTGGCTGGGCAAGTTTGCCCTGCAGAACAGTTGCCCACTCATCAGGACTAGGCTTGAAGATCCTTAGCATCACATCCCACTGCTATTGCACAGATTCCTTGAACATGTTTCTTAGACATGTACCTCTGACTTCAGGCCTGTTATCTCCATACCTGCCCAGAGTTCTGGCATTCTTCTGGGGAAGAAGCTAAGTAACCAAGATATACTTGCTGGCTGTTGTGCTAATGATTTATTAAGAATGAATGGACTCTTAAAAATAACTTGACCTTTTTTCTTTTTCTTTTTTTTTTTTTTTTTTTTTTTTTTTACCAAAATTTAGAATAACTTTGGAAAGGCCAGGAACACAAAGGGTTTAAACTTATGTAACTGTGCCTACTTATACTGGGACCTGTTAGTGTGTCTGAAGATAGAATGGTTTTCTCTTCCAACTTTGACCATTATTAACAACATCCATTTGGTGGCTCTTGTAGGAAGTCCTAGTGGAACTGCTGGAGCAATGTGTAGATGGCCTGTGGAAAGCAGAGCGTTATGAAACAATTTCTGAAGTTTCTAAACTGATCATTCCTATTTATGAAAAGCGGCGTGAATTTGAGGTAGGTATTTTGAACTAGTTTGTATATATCAGGTAATTTTCTAGATCAATAAGAAAAAAAAGGAGGCTTTTTTATTTTTGAGGTTATGAGTTAATGGATTGGTGTCAGTCAAGCACACACTGTGCTTTGTTGCTGGTCATTAGATGAATTAGTGCAAGCAATGGTCTGAAGGGTAATTATTAAAGCTAAAGACACAGAAGACTCATATTAGTATGACTAGAATAATTCCCACCTTCCTTCCCCTAAAATAAAGCTGTCATCATGCCATATGCTCCTCAAAGCCGGATTCTTTTTGAGACTTGAGCATTTTAAGGGTTAAAAACAGAGTGACAACTGTTCAAAGAAACAACTAGATCTGCAAGTAATTCAGGGGCAAGTGGAGAGGAAGGAAGGAAGCTGTTACCAGCCCTCTGCCTTGTTCTTTCCCATCACCTGCTGGTGACTGTGCTTCTGTGAGGCTGTTGCTCCGCTGATGACCTCCCTCACTCTCCCATGACCCCCTCCACATCAGGACAGCATCCAACTATATAATTGAAGCTAGGGGAAGGCTTGATCTGTTTTTTAATCATAAAGCTGTTTTTAGTCAAAAAATAATTTTGGGGTAAAATAATGCAAGCTGCTCTACCCTTCAAGGCTCAGTCAGGGAACATGCTGAGACACTAGGCTCAGCTTTCTCTCTCTCTCTTACTGCAGTCTGTGGGACCTTTCAGACCTGAAGCTAAGCGTATGCTTAAGATTGTGGTTTTTCAAAGAAAACTGCACGAGTTCAACCTCCTTAGAAATTCAAGTTTGAATTCGCCAAAGGATTGTGTTCAGATATCTCAGTTGCTTCGAGTCCTAGCTAGAATTTCCTGCTTGCAAAATTCTGCTTTAATGATGTCAAGATCCGATTTCCAGAAACTCACTCAGCTGTACAGAACACTTCATGGAGCATATGCAAAGATATTGGAAGTGATGCACACAAGGAAGAGGCTTCTTGGAACCTTTTTCAGAGTGGCCTTTTATGGACAAGTAAGTATTATCACCAGCTTGCCAGCACCCCTCACCAGGCATCTTGGCCCCTAAAGCTGCTGTTCTGTCAGACCTGAAGCTGAAAAGCCTGCTGGCTCCTCTGGTGCAGCCACTGGCACGTCTGTGTGAGCATTTTGGTACTGCACCCTTGAGGCGAGGGCTCCAGCAGCACTTCATTTATCATAAAGTTTATGATTCTGCTGGTGGGATTTTCATAAAACATCTCAGCAGTTAGGAAATGGCTTAGTGGGTTCAGAAAATACCAGGGTTCTTTGTATTTATAGTTATTATAAGTTACACAAACACAATTTAGTGTGTATAGTATATAAGCAGTAACAGTATATAACCATAGTATATAAACAGTAGTCGTAACAGACGTTTTCTTCTACAGACAATTGCAGCTCCCTTCTAGATACTAGCAGAGTAAAAGGTACTGGAGAAAATTGAGGCAAAATATGTATCAGTGTGGGTTACGTATTTGTAGAGATAGATGGTATTTTTTGTTAGCTGAAGTAGTTGGAAAAATGGACAAGATCTGGAGCTCGGAGTCCCAAGAAGATAATGATCTTATCATTTCTGATGAAGTCTTCTGAGCCTGAAAGCATTTGCCTTTTTTTTTCCTTGTCTAATAAAGTGTGTTACCACTCATCTCCCTTGTGTCTCTGAACTATCTGCTTCTGCCTGTGGACTCATGACCATGAGGGAGATGGAGGACCCTTCTTTAGAAAATACTATGTAAATTATTTTAGCCCTGCCTTTCCTAGTTCCTTCTTTTAGAGGAGATGATGAATACCCCTGAAACCATCCTGGGTTCGTACCTTTGAACACCACAGCCATTACACACAACATAACTGAGCATTTGCTGCAGCAAACATACATTTTGGTTTTGTCCTCATCTTATCTTCAACTTTGGGTATGTAAACAGTAAATAAGGTTAGAAATCGATAAAAGGAAATAACTGCCAGCTTGGTTCTCTAGAAGCTGTATAAATAACTGGATCAGCTCCTACATTAAGCTGTGCAAATGTATAATCCTGACAAACAGTACTTCTTCTGGTTATGCACTTTAGAGCTTTGCTGGCTTTATATATATACATATGCATATATACATATACACACAGAGATAGTTTTAACACTCTGTCACAACTTCTGACTAGAACAGCTCGCCAAAGCATGAAGCTTTCATGCTGTTTCCATTACAGGGAGGACTGCTGATGCAGGCACAACATTTAATGCAATTTTGTCTCTACAGCAAACGCACCACATTCCACTTCCCTGAGTATAAGAGGAATCAAAGCAGAGGAAACACATTTCTTCATTTATTGCTTGAAGTCCTTTTCAGCCTACACAAAATCCTTCTCTTAAAACTGTTCATGTGTGTCTGCTCTGATGGCTTTTTCGACACATGTGTCTTTCTGCTCCCTCCCTATCTTGCTTTTGTGGTTTTTCTCCTGTTTGCCTTTTTCCAACCTTCCTAAAAATCAACCGCTGGCCAAACCACTCTTCCACGTTGTTTAGATTTCTCACTGGTTTTGCTCAAGCCTTTGTGCTCAGAAATGACGTGTTTGTTTTGATTGAGGAATTTTATTTTTTTTAATGCAATTTTTGAAGGAACTTATTAAAAAGGCCAAGTTCAGTGAGACTCCATGCAAGCCATAGCCTTCTAAACCTTCTTGACTTTCTGAAATGTTAGTAAAAACTTTCTTTTAAAGTACCAAATCTAAGTTAAAGTTTTACAAGAAAAGAAACCCAGCTGTTCCTCACTACTTGTTTGTCATTAATGTTAGACATTCTTTGAAGAAGAAGATGGGAAGGAATACATCTATAAGGAACCCAAGCTGACAGGCCTCTCGGAGATCTCCTTCAGACTTGTTAAACTTTATGGAGAAAAATTTGGGTCGGAGACTGTAAAAATTATCCAGGATTCTAACAAGGTAGAGTTAACCTGCATGAACAAGCTAATGAATGGCTATTAGCAGTGAACATCAGGGCCACATACTAGAGAGCTCACTGACAAGTGTGACAAAAATATCGATTGTTTTCTGATACTGCTCTGGGCCTGGGGCTGCACTGCTCTAAGCACTGTTGCAAATGGAGCACAGAAGGATGAGCTTTGCTCTGTAGAGCTGAAGATGGGAGATAACAGAGCACCCCTTCCCTCTGCCAGTAGGAAGAGAGGAGCGAGCCCTGCCTTTCACCCTCTTGCAGGCACCTTGCTTCCAGTTGCCCCTCACATTCTCGTGCTCCTGTGTGGACATGCTGCACCGCTTGACAAGTTTTGGTGCTGATCTGGCTCCCAGGTGGAAATAAATTAATTGGGCATTATGAATGGGAAATTGCAATCCACGTCTCACTGAGCCCTGTGGTTGGGAAGCGTTAGGAGCCAACACAGAGGAGCAGATGATTGGAAGGGGAGTTACTTGTTGTTGCTTTGACACTGCAAGTCTAAGAGAAAATGTTTTGTGGCCTCACGCCATAGCTCCTTCATTTTCCTACAGAATATCCATTACTGCTCCCTGTAAGGGCTGTTCAAACCCTTTGTTTGCAACTGTGGGTATGTCTGGGTTACCAGAGATAATACTGATGATCCCAAAGCTTGCTTTGAATAGATTTGCATGCCACGGCACAGTACTGTATGAATGCTAGCTCATAGCCTGGAAGCAATGTGGTTATGTTAGAAGAACTAAGTAGCTCGGGCATGTGATGGATAAGGTGATATGGCTACCTGTCCCAGATGCAGCTTGTTTGGCACCAGATGAGGTATTTCTTGTGCCACACTCCTTGTCTTGTGTGTCTGCTAGTGGATGGTCTAGACATCTCAGCTGGTGTCAAAGGAAGCATTTTGTGTGTCATTCACCTGCATGCAATGGGGCTGGGTTAGCGGGGAATCAGTTTAAATCAGATCCCACTAGATAAATTAAACAATTACAAGTTAAGTTATTAACCTTTATTCTTCTAGGGAGTAACCCTCTTGTTTCACAGGTCAACGTTAAAGACCTTGATCCTAAGTATGCCCATATTCAAGTGACTTACGTGAAGCCGTATTTTGAAGACAAAGAAATCTCTGAAAGGAAGACTGAATTTGAAAGAAATCATAACATCAATAGATTTGTATTTGAAACTCCTTACACTTTATCTGGAAAAAAGCATGGCAGTGTGGAAGAACAGTGTAAAAAAAGGACCATTCTAACTAGTAAGTACAAGCATCTGAACATAAGACTGTATGTATCAGCAACTATTCTAGCTCATGAAAATATCCCAAAAGAGTTAGAAATTTTCTCAGCTACTTAATCACTTAATACTTAATCAGAATTTTGATACAATATTCTGGTTGTGAGGGGAAGTTTACCTTGTATTTCTATTTGCAAATTTTTTACAAATTAATAAATTGTACTGGTAAATTACAGCCTTGTTTGGGATTTCCCACACAGCAAGTAAAACCCTGAGGGCAAGAATCAGCATGTATATATTCTATGAAGAGTACTCCTATTTGCTGCATGACTTTTCAGTCTATAAACTTTCTTTGCTATTCTGCTAGCTTTGAACTCCTTTCCATATGTAAAGAAGAGAATTCCAGTCAATTACGAACATCAGGTTAATTTAAAACCAATTGATGTCGCTACTGATGAAATAAAAGACAAGACAGCAGAGCTGCAGAAACTCTGCTCTGCTGGTGATGTTGACATGATCCAGCTGCAACTCAAATTGCAAGGCTGTGTTTCTGTGCAGGTAAGGCTTGATGTCCGTTCAAAATTACATTTACATACACATCTCCGAGTGAGTCATCCTTTCACAACACGTTTACCTTCCAGAAATCATTAACTACCTCGTTTGCAGCACTGCAGCCATCAACCTGCTGGCACAGCCTGCCCTGCAGTACATTAGCGGGCGGCTCGTGGTAATGAGTGTTTTGTCCAGCAGTGTTTACAGTGTCAAGTCCAAGTATAATTGCACATTAGTTGGCCATGGGTGAATGATGAAATATACTTCATTCTTGAAGATTGTACTGTAAATATCAGGCACAAATAGCATCCCCCAAGATGTGAACTTGACTTTTCTCAAGCTGGACAAATGACCTTAATACTCTGACCATACTGCTTTTCCAGATGGAAATAAGGCGAAAGTATGAGGAAAAAATTGCATCTCTCTTTTATCTCTGTTTATTTTTGGTCTTAAAAAACCTAGATAGAAAAACTAATACTCAAGTTTTGAAACTTTAGGTGCGTCCAATAACATTAGTAGTGCAGAGCTGGTGGCATTCAAATAATATGCTAATGGTTTTTGTAAAAAAAAAAAAAGTTTGTTATTCCCTTCGTAATTGCCTTTAGTAACTCAACAGAAGTTCTCGCATAAATTATTTGTTACTTCTTTGGTTCTAGGTTAATGCTGGTCCCTTGGCCTATGCCAGAGCTTTCCTAAGTGACAGCCAGTCCAGCAAATATCCTACTAAGAAGGTGAATGAGTTAAAAGAAATGTTCAGGTAGGATTTCTAATGTAATAAAAACTAGCCAGCTGGCCGGAACATGGTACCTGCTTTGCTTATTTTTTTGTCTGTCTCCAAAATCAGCAGATACTGAATGCTCAGATGTGCCATATAAAGATCCAGGTCACACGGGGTTTTGAGTGCTCATACATATGAAAAAAGCCAATGTAACTATATATGTCAAGAGTTCCTAAGCTCAGGGCTGTGATCTCTGTGGGGAGATCTGCTTGAACGCCTGCTTCAATGGTTTGTGTGGGTATTTGAGGTTTTAGTGTGAAGAAAGGGTGTTTGAAAACCCAAGGTCTGACAGTCTTGTGTTCAGGGATCTTTCATATTGTGCATTGTATTTCAGTCTTTCCAAATGGATTTTTCACTTGATAGTGATTAACTTAAAATATTTTAAAGCAAATCCCTTTCCAGTTTATAGGTGACCATCATTGTTTCTGTTGCTGATTTTTGAAACTATGACTTGCACAGGCATTTTTCTAGCTCCTGTACCTTAGGGTAGGTTTTACCTTCCACCTGAAAGCATCCCCCAAGATGTAATCAGACGGTCACACCACATTACATTTTGGATCTCTTGGGAGAAACCTGTTACCCGCCAGCTCCTGCATTCATTACTGGGTGCTGGTGACTCCCATTTCACTCACTGTTTTGGGGACAATGCTATTTTCTTTCAGTGAATTGGGTAACCTAGCAAACTAAAGAACAAATAAGGGAACAACCCCTGCAAACCCACCACTCATGGATGCAGAGCAGGGGAAAGGCAGTTTTACATTTCAGCCTTGCCATGCAGCCGGAAGGACAAAAACAATCTCTATTTAATGAAAAAAAATCCTGTAAAATCCCAGTCATACTTCTAAAATCCTTTATTAAAAAGGAAGAAATATGCACATGGAATGAAGCAAAGAAAATTAGTAATAGTAACCAAGAAAACAATATTAGAGCTCCCCATGATCAACATTTCTTTTTGGAGGGTGTGTCTGCTGTTAGCAACTTGACCTCTCAAGCACATGTGCTACGTTACATACATCCAGATCTGTCAAGCCCTGTACGATTGATTTTCCCCTCTGCCTGACCATGGCCTCCCTCTGTTTTGTGACCCTGTGTGCAGCTGGTTGGGTTTATCTGGGATCTGCAAGCTGTGTGTGGTCCTACAGGTTGGGGACAAGGTGTGAGACCAAGGTGTCGCACTGCAGGTGCATGTGTCCCATCCACTGAGGATCCAGACTCGAAGGAGCTCCAGCAGAAAGACCAGTCCTGTGTTCCAGTCCCTCCCCATTCCCTGATCCACTGTGCCAGGGATGCTCCTGGAATGTGACTTGTCCCAAACATCAGAGAAAAGAGACGACAAAAAAAAAAAAAAAAAGAGAGAGAGATTTGCCTATCTGTTTGGTTGTTTGCTTTGGTAGAAGACTGGACGACTGTAATGCCCAAAGTTCATTCCTGTCCTCCCCAGGAAGTTTATACAAGCCTGTGGAATTGCTCTGGAGCTCAACGAGCGACTCATTAAGGAGGATCAAGTGGAGTACCATGAGGGGCTAAAATCAAACTTTCGGGATATGGTGAAAGAGCTTTCTGACATCATCCATGAGCAGGTACATACTGCACGGCAGGGGCCCACAGGGCTGGTTCTCTGTGCTTGAAAATTGGGTAATGCTGAAAAGGCACTGACAACTGATTAAAACTCGATCACTCTTCATGTTATTTAGCTAAATGTAAAAAGGCGAGTAACTGAACATGAGAAGTAAACAATACACTTGGTGGATTCCTAAAACGGATTTCTGTTGATTGTGAGTCTCAGCCTGGTGTTGGCATACAGCGTGCTTCAGGGTGGAGTCTTCGCTGACACATACCATTAGTTTCCTGGCTGCTGTGGTCATCAGAAATCCTGTGCCGTGTTTTGTCTCACGTTTTCTACATCATAAAAATCCTGTGATAAGTCACAGGTCAAAATTCTCTGGCAGCATTTCCATTTCCTCAGCTATATTCAGCTTAAGTTCTTTTTTTAAAATTATTTTCCTTAAAGGATGTTTTCTTTTAATTTTGGCCTAATGCCAACATGTTATTTATCTGCACTGTGAAATTGTTTGTGCTAATTTATCTGACCTACGTTTTAATGTTTTCTTGGATATTTCTAGGAAAATACTTTTGAAAAGTAGTATCAGAGAGGTGAGAGATTCAAAGACCAGTTGCACTTCTACCTAGTATCGTGCTGTGAAATTAGATGAAAACTGACTTTCTGAAGTAATCTCTGTACCTCTGCTCTTTATTTTTGCTATCATTAGGGCAAAAGAAAGCTCATTGTAGATTTACGGTATTAGGCACATAAAATGAATGGTACAGACTGCATTGAGATTCATTTAGAAGAATGTTTTCAGAATCTCACAGTTACTCAACACACAGTCCACATGTGATTATTAGTTAAACATGCAACATTTTAAGTCACTAAAAATATACAGGCAAATTCCACAATAAGTTGAGCAATTGTTCAAACTAATGCAAAATTGTGCAAGTGGCAAATTTATACAACGGCACCAGGCTGCTATTTGCAAGTTAGGTTTCTTTATAATAAAATAATGCTTATGGGAATCAAACAAAGTTTTGTTTTGGAAGAGCACCGTATAATTTCAGGGAAACAGTATGTGCAGCCTCATGATGGGGCTGAATTTTGTTGTGGGAGTTTAAGGGAGAATCCATTTGAGAGTGACTGCTGCATCCCCCTTACTTTTGTTAGATTTCCTTGCTATTCTGCTCATGACCACCATTTTCTTAGTGTGCAGACTACTAATTTTGCACATTTGGCACACTCGTCTTTTTCATGTACATTACCTACCATATATCCTCCTACTGCTGAATTTTGCTCACGATGTTTGTTCATAGGAGTTGCCACCTGCTTACCCTAAGCTGCTTGCAATTAAACCCTTCCACGACATTTAATTTGCATGCAGCTGCTGGAACTTTTGTGGTTTCTGAATTCTGCGATAGTCAAATCAAAACCAAATCATTCAGTTGTGCACTGTCACAGTACAACAGTTGGGATTATCTTAGAACAAAGTAGTATTGTTAAAGCACACTCCCTGTTATCTTGATAAATTTACAAATCCACTGTTGTGGACAAAATATTACAACAACTGAATGTCCAAGTGAAGGGCTCACTGGGAAGGATTTACTTTTCCCTTTCTTCTTGTATTAGAAAGGCAGCTTAAAAGATCATGTTTACAAGCACTGTTCTTTGGGGTTGTACAACATTATGTACATAATTGCTGATTTGAACTTTGTGTTGCCATCAAATGACCTAAGTAACACACAAACTTAATGGAACATGTTTTCCTCTTCTGCAAAATTACTCAGTTAAACCTAAAAAGTCAATTACATTAATTTTGGGTTCTCACTGCAAATAACGCTTTTCTGAATAGTGTCAGTGCCCCGAAACAGCACAGGCAGTGCACTGAGCTGGAGATGGCCGGGCAGATGGGTAGCTCACTGGGTCAGCCTGTGACCCACCTACAGATCTTGTAAGCTAGGGAAATAAAAACACAAAAAATTGGTGAGTTGCAGCTGAACAGGTACGGGAAGCCTCGGAGAGTGGCAGAAAACTGAATGTCCCGAAGCTGGTTATGATGGCCAGTGATCTCAGTTTTACTAATGTAAATTCAGGCTAACTAACTTGAGTGGTGAACCACGGGGTGAAGAACAAATACACAGTCAGCTCTAGAGCAGCTCTACCAGTGCAAGCAGCTCCTGTGCTGTAAGACCAATCTTCAAGTTATAAAGTACAAAGTCTTGCCGCATGGCGCAGATTTACTGAGCATTTGCTGTATTTAGCTGCTGGTACTCCCCCCCATGCTTACAAAAAAAGACTTTAGAATTCTGTCACTGCTAAGATATAATTAAAAAATTTTATACAGGGAATTGTTTCTTCCCTGTACTGGATAGCTGTAACTAAAAACTGTCTGGTAATACACAGAACAGTGTCTATATGAATGCTACAGAAATTGCTAAATTACTCTTCTTTCTCATTTCTTTGTTATGCTGCCTTTGCGAAACAGCTTTGAAGACAAGGTTGGATATCTCTTTTGCATACCTTTTTAAACAGCTTGATTATTATAATGAACTGATACTTTTACTGAATTTGTGATTGCTTTGTTTTGTCTAGATCTACCCTGAAGACACGATACATTCACCGTGGATGCACGACTCCCTCCATGTCTTTTGTGCAATCAGCGGAACATCCAGTGATGGCAGTTACTGTTCTCTCAGACCCTCTGCTGAAATATAAACATATCAGATTTTACAGAGCTTTCTCAGGAATACTTGGAACTGTACGAAGGATGTTTTAAAAAATCCATGATGAGCAAGATTCAATTTTTTTTCTCCCAAAAAGTTGCCATGCTTTCAAACAGGGTGCTTATTTGCTTATTTTGCTGAGCAACATTGAAAGTGCCTGGACATTGCACCACTGTGCTTGTTTTCTATGTTTTTTTTTAAGCTAAAGGTATAACAGGATGTGGGAAGGCAGTTACCTAAGTATGTATTGAATTGCTGAACTATGAATGGAAATGATAACAGTACTATGTAAAGTTGTACAATGGAATATAATAAAATGTAAAACTACTTTGTAAATAGAAGGAGCATAGAGTATATAGAAATTAGCATTTTATCATATTTGCTGCTAAAAGCTTTTTTGGACAGGGAACATGAAGGAGAGATTGTAGTCACTAGTAAGAGACCTTCCTCTTCTAAAAAGCGACTTGGGCTCCAGATGCCCTTGTTGCACTCAGACAATGAGAGTAAACTTGCCCTAGTCTGGAACAAAATAAAACCTAATTCAGAAAGGATAATTTTCAACCTCTGAGCAGATAATTCTAAAGTAACCTCCATGAGAGCTGAGCTTACTATAGCTGATTGCAATTTTGGCTAACCTTTCACGGCTGCAGGAGGGTGGATTGTACTCACTGGGGGCAGCCTGATTGATTTGTCATTTGATGGGAGTTTTTCTCTTTACCACTCATGGTCTCACACAAAATATAAACTCTGAGAACACCTTAAAGTGAGTTGAGAATTATAAAGTGCTTTAACACCTTTCAGAAAAATTCTAATAATCTGTGAGATGTGCTTAAAAAAAATGCAGCACATCAAAATAACTCATACAAAACTGAGGGGGGGGGGGGTTTAATGTCATATGACATACATGTTGCCTCTTGTTAAACAGATCTGTTTTCTGAAAGCCTGTTATTTTTGTCTGACAGGTAGTTGGACAAAATTTATTTTCCAGAATTGTTTTATTCCTTTTTCCCCTCCCCAAAACTTTAATACATTATCTCTGTCTCTTATTAAAAAAGACACTTTGAAATGCAGGAAGAACAAAACAGATCAGTAATTCTTTTACTGAGCAACATTTTGATGTCCGTGTTTTTCAAAATCCATCAATTGTAAATATGTTTCCTGTAGTTCATGTGGGAAGGGTGGGGGGCTTTAAGGATATGTAGCAAAATGCCACAATAAAAGGACTCAGTTGGGTATTTAGCCTGGCTATGATGTCTATAAAATGTTAAGCTTCTAATTTCTGTAACAAAAATTATCTTAAAACAGTAACTGGATCACATTTCAATATGTTTATTATGCATTATACCTAAAATTAATTGTCTTCTGAGAAAATAGTGTTGTGATCTGTAAATTCACCCATTAGCTGTTGCAAGCGAACTACAGATGTGCCTGTGTAAACAAGCAGACTGCATTTCTGCTTGTATGTGCTGTTATGCCAGGCAGGCTCTAAATTTATCTTAACAGAAAGAGGAAGAGAGACTAGTATGTTTAAATATGGTTGCTGCCTTCTTGATTTTCATCTTTCAACAAATAATATTTAAAGGCAGATAGTGAGAGTTTTCCAAATTACTAAAAGACAATGAAGGTGTTTGATAGTGGATACACGACAAGATTTTTTTTTTTTTTTGGAGCTAGTTAAACTCTAAACTTCAGTACTGAAGGCATATCTTGAACAAAATGAGCAGTGAGAAGATGTGGACAGCCAAAAGCGCTTGCACTATAGCTCTTTTAAATACTACAGCTAACCTAGTAGTTTTCCTGGAATTGCAGTGAAATTCTTATTCCTGTTTTTTGATGTCTTTAATGTTCTGAAATAACATCATTGGGTGAGTTTTCAATTGTTATTCCTTATTTTTGCTGGAATTCCAGTGAAATTCTTACTGTATCTTCAGATGTCTTTAATGTGCCAAGATTAATTTTTGCCTGAACTTCTGAATGCATTGTTGGTATTGAAGTTGTCCTGTCATTTCAATTTAATATACTGGAAAGCTGTCTGCGTAATTCAGCCAAAAAAAGTATATAATACAGGTCTGATTAGAATTATAGTCAGTACAGTTCGGAATACACACTTATATGCAGTTTTGAAGAATAACAAAAATGATCACGCCCTAAGGATTTGCCTTTTGTCCTGCAGGTAAATAATTCTACTGGATTTTTAACAGAAAAATCTCAGAAGGAAGATTTGTCCTTTTTAGATGAGATGTAAAAAGACTATAAAACCGGCTTGGTTTTTCTTTACATTTTCACCAGTTTAGAAATGATAGTGAGTGGTCATTAGATATTTTGCAGCTGTATCTGGACAATGGCACCAAGAAGCTGTTCACATTTTCTCTTCCTATCTTTTTTTCCTATGTAATTGTCCCAGTTTAAAGAAGTTCTACAGATTTTTTCTTAGTTCTAGTTGAAATAGCTTAATTGACAGATCTATTTGGGGAGTATCCTGTGTATGTGCCTGTTTTATGTAGCTGGTACTCGCTTTGGGTACTTCCTGTTTGCTGCGTTTTTTGGAAGAATATAAATGTTTGCTGTTCATTAACACTTTTGCTTTTCTTATACTGCCTAAGGAATAGCAGGAGTATTTTGCTCTGTAAAAATAGTAGACATATTTCAAATTACAACCTGGCATGCACTCCTTCTGTAAATCAATATAGCTACGCATACATATTTTGTATACACACCTCTAATTACTTCTGCCGCAAAACTGCTGTGTAGCACATCAAGTCTCCAGAAGGGATACATTGATAATTTTAAAATTACTCAATTGTTTGCAGAAAGAGAGAAGAAATAGCATAAAGTATCTGTCCATGAGGATTAAGAGAACTTGGCTACTCTCAGTATCAGGGCTGTTTTGGATAAAGATATGTGTTAGAGCCAGATTATTTGCACATAGGACATACAAAGCAAGACAGGGTCTGCCAGCACTTCATGTACAAGAACATGCTTTTAGAGATTTATACACCTAGACAGAGTAAGCAGAGTGTAAGCATTTGCTCTCTTTGACTTAATGCTTTTCTCTCTGCAGAGAGATTAGAAAGTAGTATTTTAAGACAAATAACTTCACAGTTACATTTATTTCCCCCCCCCAAAAAAAAAATCTGGAATGCAGAATTTACTGCAGCCAAGGACATATTTCTAAATATTACTCGATGATCTAAATTTCTTCTGTTAACACGAATTTTCATGAGATGGGCCAGGAAATGGAAAATCGTGGATGTGAGACTACCCATAGTGTGTAATGTGTTTATTTTGTTCCGGAAGCCTTTTGAACATGCACCACATGGTGTTTTGATATAGAATAGTTTACATGAACATAACACCTGTTGTCTCAGAGTAGATAACATATGTTTGTTTACCCTTCCTGTAGAGACAGGGTCCCATGGACTTCACAGCAGGCTTCAGAACAACCCTACAATTTGACGTAACAGCCCAAAAGACTGGAGGAAAACATAAGTGAAAGTCAGGCTCAGAAGTCTCCTACAGATTAAACCACATCCTACTTAGTATGCGCACTTGAGGAGAGGAGCACATGTTCATTTGATGTTCACTGAGCTGAGTTCATCTAATTAAGCAAGAGGTTCTTACTGGATTGAGGAATACTGTGTACAGCTAATTTGTATGCAACCACAGACTGTAGTATTAACCTTTAAATAATATGCTTGTGTCAAGCAATGGTGAATCAATTATACACATAGTATTTCAGCTATTCTGGATGTAATTTACTCTTTTTTCATGTAAATTTAAAACCTGCTGCTACATATTCATAATAGAAGTGTTTTTTACCGTGCATGTTGTATATACGTGTGTTGTCCAAGCCCTGTTTAACCTTCTGTGTGTGCTGACAGAACGGTACATCCTGTTTGCCTTGGTTGTTAGCCGATGTACCTGTGACACCAAGTAATACACGATACTGTTCCACAGCTTTCTGAGACCAGCCATCCTATATTGCTCTTTTTATTCTTGTTTTCTTTTTCTGGAAGAATCAATAATTTTGAGAGGAAGCCATGGCAATATCACATTTCAGTCAATCCAGATGAAAGAGTTTATTCCAGTTCAAAATAAAAGACTACAAAAACAGGACAAATAAGTGTTGCAATAAACATGTTTTGCTTAGGGTTTTTTCTCTTCACAGAACAGGATGAGTGATCTGAAGCTAATACTGGTGTAAGATTCATAGGAGTAAAACCTAGTCAAATGAGCTATGGCATATGCTCCCTCTGAAGAAGATTACTGTAATAAATCTTCAAATACACCAAATGAAATTGTTTACACTAAATTATTAATCAGTAAATAGAGTATGATGATTCAGAAATCCTGAAGGAGCACAAATACCACACATCTAGCTCAGAGGATCCCAAACCACAATTGATCAGGAAACTAGAGACAGAGGTGCATACAAATTTATCAATAGAAACAAAGTGTGAATCCCTAGTGAGGAAATGTCCCAGCAAATCACCCTACTTTCCTAAAGAATGTTCAGTAAGTTTGTGACCAAGTTTTTGCTCTCTTTTGTAGTTCCAGTTTTCAGACTTTTGCTCTTTGGGAATGTATTTATTGTCTCTCTTCTCCAACTAACTCGACTTAAATGGCTAGTGTGCCAATATACATGCCAAGCTCAGGCAGTTGTACTGGCTATTACTTGGTGTAACGGCAGTTGGGTGTAACTACTGTTATTTACCTCACTAGTGGACAAAGGACAAATTGCTTTTTCAACCGCTGTCTTCTACCACTGAGGCTTCCTGGGCAGAGCTCTTGCAAGCCTTGGCTGAGCAGCTGTAGAACCAGGTTCATGCCCTGCCTCCCTTGCTGGGTAAAGGAGTTACTCCCTTGCCAAATAAACAGATGAATTAAATAGACCTTAGTGTTTAGGCAACTGTGAGCAGAAAAGTTGATGCATGGGCTTGCAATAGCAATTTATCGGAGAAGGATACAATTTTTGCAGTAGCATATTTGAGTCCACATCTACCCAAAAGTGCTCTTCAAATGATGTGTTTTTTATTCCGCGTGATTTCTGATTTATGGTGATGCTTGGGCAGCTGCTCAGAGAGAACTTGCAGAGTTCATGACCGTTTAGAACACAGCTGTCACAAAGCTCTAGATGGAACACCTCAAGTCGAAAACAGAGAGGCCCCGTGAGTCAGACCAGGTTTTCTCAGCTCACAGTTTTGGAGTTTTGTGCCTCAGATACAGCGGTATTCTAATTGAGCCGACCCCAGCCATCTTTTGAAGAGCCTATAATTATGT